GGGCCAACAAATGAATTCCATTTAATCAAAGATCTGCAAAAACCAGAAGCACCACCATCTGGCAATTTGGTTCGCCAAACACCCAAACATCTCTGTTGCAAAACCAAACGAAACGAAATTTTGCTGCTTCAACAACATAATGATTCATTTCTATTTTTGAACATTGTTTTCGTCTGGCATTTGTTTATCAAAAAGTACACGCCTAATATCCAAATTTCGGCAACATTTTTTCTTAATAACCACTTACTTGGAGCATATGAACGTTAGAACAGATTATAATAATATGCTGATTAAAAATGCTTCTTCTAGTAATCGTTTCTCGTTCGGCTTTGATAAGCATTACTTTTGATATGGGATTTGCTACCGGTTTATAACCGAAATGATTCATTCTAACATTTTCGCTTCTAGTGAGCAATTCTTTGGATAGAAGATGAAAAGTACTTGTTTTATTTGAAAATAAAACGCTAATCATTAGGAGCGTTCTCATCAAATTAATGAATGACCTTGTTAAAGCACGACTCGTGTTACAACCTACTCAAAATCGGAATTATCGATAAACAGGCTTTTCTTCTACTGAGAAAACATATTTCTCCATCTTTGGTTGTATAACTAACGTCAATTCTCTAAAATTATGGAAATTGCTGGAAAAAAAAACAAGAAAATATACAGAACAAGCGATTCTGAAGAAGAGAAAAAAAACAAACAAACGAAAATTACCAATTTCGATATGGCCATGAAAAGGGATATCGAAAAAAACAATAAACAGTAAATTCAATTTGATTAAATGAATTCATTTAGCGATTAATAACAGTTGAATTCACGCATCGGAAAATCATGGAATAATAAAAAGATTGCATTAAAAGGCAGCTGCTAAGAATATGGTGCCATACATTTTAGCCATTTTGATTTGTGAAAGTGAGCTCACACGGCGCGATTGCATCGCTTTTGAGCAGTGTCACATTCGTTTCATTCTATTACCGAGTTCATATTGACAAATTGCCCACATCAAATCCGAAAGCATAACAGTAAAAAAAAAGAGAGAAAAATTCTATTAACAACCCTTCAATTGGAAACTAGAAAATAAAAATTGTTGGTCGCCTCCTTTATTATGATTTTCACGTTTCCATTTCACAAAAAAAAAAGATACGTGCACATTTTCCGCTTGATGCGTCTGGAAAAAAAAGACCTATTCCTTGCCGCTGATGGGTTGCCGACACAATGACATGTTGTTCTGTGTGCCATTCTGATTATTATTTTGGTTATGTGTGTGTGTTTTTTTTCTTCATTCTTTGATTCTCAACGTGGCAGGGGATAGGATTTTTAGAGCGTGCAAAAAAAAAACCTATTGTTCGATCAGAGATCAAAATCAAATATTTGGCACGAAACTTATGCGTATACAAAGAGTGTACGCATCGTACAATGCATTTTTGATCATAAATCTGTGAATTGAATTTGAAACGGGGGATCGTGAAGAGAGGTGCCTCTGAGCAAGTAACTTTTTATTGCTGTCATTTGCTACTATTATTCATTGTGTCATTATTCAACGGGCTTGGCTCTCATTCCCTCTTCCATTCACGGCAACGTAACAAACACAACCATTTGAATAAAACCGAGGGTTGGATCTTGGTGAAACAACAACAACAACAACAACACCAACCGCACAGCCGAGCAAATGACAAACAGCACTGGAAGAAACAAATCAACAGCCGAACTGGCGTTTCGGTTTGAAAACTAGTTGTGAAACCAGAGTAATAAACAGTTTGGCGTGTACAATGAGTGTAACGGCATAGGCGGTACAATGTTTTGGTATGCCTCGAGTGATGCTCTTTCAGCTTTTGCGTCATACATTCGAGGGGCTAGGCAACATGTGATGCTTACTGTTGCCAACCGTTAGAAAACGAAAAAAAAATCGCTTTCTATTAGAAATCGACTCATAAATCGTCTCGCCAATTTTCAACTTGAACCAACAAGAAAACTTAAGAAAAAAAAACATTTTTTCTGAAGAAGCACTCCAACTTAAATATCCGCCTCTTTTAATTCATTCATCCTTCAATTTAAGTGATTCTTGAGTCATGAACAAAAGGTTAAATCTTTGTCCGTTTGGCGATTTAACCATTTCATTTCGTAAAAATTAGCCAAATTCCGAATTATGATAACGAGAAGATGTTGTACCTTAATTACATGTTTTCGTTTAAATAAAATTGTAAATTTCGGTGTCATTCGCGATTGCGAAGGTTTTTAAAAGTGTTGTTACAACCGTGAATGGCCAACAGTTGTAAGCAGACAAACGAAGCAAGACAAAAAAAAAACTGAGAATTTGCTTCAGTCAAAACGCAAAATGCGAGAGTCCAGGTCATGAACTTTTTAAGCCTAATAAGATTATGCAACAGTAATGCGATAGACGCACAGACTGGATAGATATTTAACTATGTGTTTGCGTAGTTTATTCACAGCCATAGCACATAAATAACATTAAGCAAGAAGTGAATGAATGTGCGCGAGCGCGAGCGAAAAAGTTGATGCCGTTAGTCTTGCTTAACACTCAACTTGACAAATAGTGTGTGAACTTGTAATACGGTTATTAGAATCATGCACTTTCTGTTTTTACTATTTCCACCGTCGATCGCTACCAACGCAGACGAACAAGCATAGAAATTGAAACTCAAGACGCGCGCATAAAGAAAGGAAAAAATATAACCAGTAGTCGATATTCTGTCGTCTAAATGGCACCAGGAAGCGAAAATCTTATACCATTTAATTAATACGCTGCATACTGAATTGTTTTCGCTATAATCTGCAACAACACGCATTTCAATTTAGCGCATTCATTTGGTGTTTGCAAGCTAAGCAAAATATGCACCTACCTTCATTTTGCGATCGCAATTCTCCATTTTATTTAACGCTTTTCCAGTATGCTGCTTGTTACATGCCAATCACAAATTACCTACGCCTGACAAAAATCATTTGAAAATGTTACATGTCTTGTGCGTGTTCTCTTCACACTGTTTTGTCCTTCATTCAAATCTATATTTATTTGCTGGTTCGCGTTATACTTTTCCACACGACCATGTCGGATAAGAAAAGTATTGCGATCGTCCCAGATTTTTTGACCCACTGAAAATGAGTTTTTTTTTTGAACTCTGAAAAACGCGAATCTTAGCGTTATTTTTGGGTCGTTGGGTAAGTGCGTGGTACTTTTTACGCTGTACGCAAAATAATACGGTAACAAATTTGCTATGTTTCAAATTGTAAAACTGAAATGAATCGTTTAGACGAGTTTGCCTTACGTATGTAGGGCATTTCATTTTTCTTTATATCCTTTTTGTTATTTTGCTTCACAATCGTCACCAGATGCCATGGCAATCGTTCAATTTACATTCATTGAAAGCTAAAATGTGGAAAACGTGTCGAATCTTTGAAAAAAATGTTCACGAGATCATGCTGGATATATCTTCAACATGGACGGTTGCCATCACAACAGAACTAGGCCATGATCCAGCGATGATTATTGCATAGAGATGTTAGCAAATCGGAAACTCAAAGTATTCAGTCAAGATTCAACGTTTTACATAGGATTTGTGGTTTTGCTTGTGGTTTCGGAATTGTTTAAACTTTTTCCCTCTATTTCAAAATATCCAAATGCATTGTATTGATTTCACGCTGGAAATAAAAGTTCTTTCAGATGTTGGTGTGCTTCGACGAACTTAATTGTGTGATTTTCATTAGTTCCATTAAATTAGCCGCATTCTCAGTATCAAATATGGAAATTTGAAGCGCCAATCCATTCCCACACTCACTTGAATTTATTCGATAAATTGGTTATAATGGAATCAAGCACTTGGAAACAGTATGCACGCGCTCACACTCGACATTGCCCAAAAAAAAAAAACTGAGCGTACGCACACGCAAACACTCAACATGATATCTAATGGTAAAAAAGCAAGTTCTCATCCAAAAACAGCGTTCCCCATCCACCTGATTCGTGTTTGTGTTTGCACAAAACGCCAGTTGATGTCGCGTTTGTTTACACCCATCGCATTCGAATGTGAAATTTCCATTCCGTTTGACTCAATCGCCGAAAATGTGTGTATTGTTGCGACGACGAATGGCAAGTGCCTCTCCCATGCGTTTGCCATAGCAAGCACTTTATTCGCTCCAGAAATGTGTTTATCTTTCCTAATAAATATGTAACTAGTTTACGTTCTCTCTCTCTCTCTCTCTCTCTCTCTCTCTCTCTCTCTCTGTGTGTGTGTGTGTGTGTGTCTGTGAATTTGTCTACCCTTCACGTTTGCGACGAGGGAGTGTTGTTCATGGTAAAAATCAAATTGTTTCCGAAATAAAGTTCTCGGAGGAATTTTAAGAGCTGCCTTTGCGCCAGCAGCATCAAGTGTGTGAGCGTATGTGTACCAATATTATTCAATTTGTTTTATCTAATTTTATCCGTATGCACATGCGAGGCTAAATGAAATCAACACCTCGAAGTAAGTGATAAGCGTTGTACCGCTTCAAGGCACAAACAAACAAAAATACCAAGCATTTCTCTCTCACACGCAGGCCAACCAACCAACCAACCAAGCGACCGAGCTACGTATTTGACTTGGTTCGTTTTAATATTAAATAAACAAAGGGGGTGTGTTGACTGCTCACACTGGATGTTTTTAGAAAATTAGAATAATATTTTTCCTGGCGTTTTTTTTCCCTCTTCTTCTCCTGCTGCTGCTACTGTGTTGTAAGTCAGCAAGTGAATCTGACTGTATTTGCCTGATAAAAAATAGATAAACAAGGCAACTATTTGGAATCCCGTTGCCAAACATCACAAGCAATTAGTTCGTTTTCGCATTGAATTTCACATACAGCAGCACTTTAATCGAATCAATTTTAATACCATTTTCGTTTCGTCTTCCCACCAACCACTTCACTTGATCTCAAGTTTTTTCCATTGCAAAATATTCTTTTCCCATTTATTAATCTGTTGTTTTCTTCTTCTTTTCTGTTCGCAGGCGTTAATACAAGGAAACAACGAAGAGAACGGACCACATTTACACGCGGGCAATTAGATGTTTTAGAGGATTTATTTGGCAAAACTCGGTATCCAGACATTTTTATGCGAGAGGAAGTAGCGTGCAAAATTAAACTGCCAGAATCACGAGTTCAGGTAAGAATCGTTTCCATCTCCTCATATTTGGAAATTAAGTCATTAAAATGATAATCACCAACGTCGGTAACGGCGGTAGCAGCGGCAGCAACGGAATTATTTGATACAATCACAGCCAAGCAAACAACCGACAATTTTTGCCTGTAATAAGAATCCATAAATCATATCGCATTTATCTGCTCTTGTCTCTCTCTCTCGCATAATCATAACAATGGTGCTATTTGTTTAGGATTCCGTCTTGTTTATTTAACAGCAGTTCCTGTGCACGTTTACCCAATGCCATCGAAACATTTATGATGTGATAATTGTTCACTTTTGGTGCAAACATTTTTTATTATGTCATCGAAGCGATTTGAATGTCGAATGTGTTCCCTTTTGTTTAAACGATGGCCATTTTTGCATTTTATGGAAATGATGTGTGAAATTTTAGAGGAAAATACCCATTTTTGGTCGCCCTCTCGCATTCAGTTTTATGGGTTTATTACCATTTATTTAAGCAATACGATAGCAAATAAATCATTTTGAAAGTGTTTACCAGCAGCAAATAGCAGAAATACAGATGCCAGATACAATTTTCGCAATCATTTGAATTTACCGCCTTTTGTCGGAAATTTGTGTGTGTGTGTGTTTTTTTTTCTCGTTGAAAAAGATGCATCAATTTACAGTTCCATCGCAAATTTATCAAATGATTTAACTTTAACACATCATCTCTATTGTTGATGCTCGTTGACTGTTAGCAGTTCAGGTATTGATATTTTTTCCACTCGAAATTCCTTACGTATTTCTGCTTGAATGCATACAAGATCACCTTTGGAAAATACCTGAAGATGCCGTTGTTGCTATTTTCTGCTCTCGTAATTGCAACCGTAAACAGAGCACAATTATCCAATCAAGATAGTTGGAACCTGAGTCAATGCAAAACGATAGTGCTTATCACACTGGCACATCGTGTGTCTGAAACCGAACGAAATTCGATCCATTTTCTGCGTAAATGGCATCCACAACCAACTATTCGAGTTCAACTAACTATAAAACCATGCTTTTTCGCTTTTTTTCTCTTTCTCCTTCTTCTTCTGCCTTACTACAATTGTTTTTTTTCCAACCGTATTGTTCCTTGTTCGTCGCGCGCTTAGCTCTCGACTATTTCTCAATTTTCACTTCAATAAAGAGAGAAAAAGAGAACACACAACAAAAACAGGGAACAAGAAGAAACAACAAATGGAAAAACAAATCAAATGCACATCACAAATCAATCATATCGTATACAAGTGTGTAAATTGAAGAGCAAACAGAGCTCAATATAGAAAAATAACATGCGGCCAGGCAAAGAAGTAACAAAAAAGGCAGAAAAAAGCACATAGTAAGAGAGAGAGAGAGAGGGAGAGACTGGGAGAATGTATGTGTGTGCAACAATGAAACGAAAACGTGGCTTGGAAAATGGTAATTTAAGTAGCTCGAAATATGTTCATTTGCCCGAGAGAGAGTGAATGGAATATAATATGGCCGTAGACAATGCGACCGTAGGCAATAATTGGGCTCACTGCATTCGGTTGAACGGCAGCATACGACGTCTCCATTGCTGGTTTCACGTTCAATAAACATTAGCCATTGCGCTTTTTTTCCTTCTTCTCTCTGTTTCTTTCTCTCTCTCTGAAATTCATTGTTTTGTGTGTTTCTTCGTGCCGTAAATTAGATATATTTACTTTCACGAGAAAATAGTAGTAAAAAAAATAACAATAACTGACACGAACTAGCTTCTGTACGGCTTCAAAGGCGACATACGACAGGAGCATATCCAGGATTGTTCAATGTTCATACATCAAACCAAATTTGCTTTCTTCATTTTACTTTGAGTTAAATGTTTTTTGCCTTCTCCTTTCGATTCGAAAAGTAAAAAAAAAGTATTGAAAATCCAGCGCTCGTGTTCAGTAATCGATACATTTTATTCGACTTAACCAAGCAACAAACATACGAATCATCTTCAGTAAATATGTCTCAATTTATTTCCTATTCGAGAATTAACAAAAAAACAAAAAACGTACGTTGTTTGTGCAAAGAAAAGCGAGAGAAAAAAAGACACAGACGGCTGTGTTTACCCAACAATAACCGATGACATCCATTCCGTAATGATGATACATTTGCACCAAAACAACGATTTTTCCTCCTCTGGTTTCGAGTAAACAAACAAACCGAAACACACATCACAATGGACAATGAGCATATTTTTTTCCATTTTTCTCTGTGCAAAACTATTACTCATTGTGTCACCATAAAAACATATTTAGCACACCGAGGAGCCGAGCTGTGTGTAAATTGCTCTCTCACTCTCGATCGATGCATTTCTCCGGCAATTGGCATGTTTACACTACAAAATATTCGGTTGAAATGCACAACCGAAACATGAATTTATTGTTTTTCTTCAACCCTCTTATATGCATTTCTCTTTTTCATCTTTTTTTCTCTCTCAATCTCTGCATTCGCCCCATTGTCATTGCTCTGTTTGTGCCCACTTTCTTTTCAGTTGTCATGTCATCGAGTACAGCATTTTGTTACCGAGAATTTTTCGTGCATTTCATGCATAAAATCGGTAAATGTTGGAATATATATATTTGTATTTCTACGGTGTGTGTTTGTGTGTTTTTGAATTCAACCGAAACGCCATTCGGTATCGTTTGTTGTTTGGGTGTGATTTGTTTGAAGGTGATTTCAATGGCGTTTTAATCTGAGGTGCTACTGTGAAATATATAGTAATTTGTGTGCGATGATTGATGATGAATTGGTTTTGAAATGTTGCTTTCCAATTTGCGCCTTTTGTATGGAAAAAAAAGGCCTTGGCATGACATCGACATCGACACAGCTCAGCTGTGTGTGTGTGTCTGTTTGTCACACATATTTTTCGATTAAGCAAACATTGTTCCGTTCGTTGATGAAAATGTCATATTTCCCTATTGTGCTGTACAACGAATGAATGCCAAGCGAATGGCCGTTAAATTGTTTGTTTTTGTGATTTTCCGTTTTAATAATCGGAAAGGTAGCAACAAATCAAACAACACGTTGCAATAAATCAAATTGCAAATGAATTTGCTTCGAATTCAACGTCAATTTTCTTTCTCTCAAAAACACATTCACTACCAACTCGATAATGAACGCTGTAAATAATCGAAGACCATTAAATTCTGGTGTAAAATTTATTAGTGAAATTCAATCTTATCACTTAGCCCATATTAGAGCGGTTGTTTGTTTCAAATAAATGTCGGCAAATTGACGTTTTAACAGAACTATTATGATGCTGTCGTTTCAATCATATCATGAGTCGTTCACCCTCCGTCGACACAAGCGACTGCTGCGATAACAAGAGTGACTCGGTTGTGAATGCAATGCGTGCAACAATAACAAACATTCGGACTGCGGTGAGAATGGAATAGAGGCGAAAAACCACCCTCTTATCCTAAGAAAATAATGAATAAAATTACATCATAGTGTAAATCCGTAAACAAATCACATGGTTAACTTGGCAGAAAATGACAGTTTTGGGATGTTGTTTGCTTTTGAATGAGAAAATGGAATTCTTTTGCGTTGGTTCCACCCCAAAACGAGTGCCAGCATACAAACACGCTGGAAGGGAGCGAGCGAGAGTGAATGCATTTTATTTTGTGTTAAGTAGCATTGGATGCTGTTAACGATTATGTGTACATGCCTCAGTCGTCGCAAATCGAATCGGATGGATGAAATATCCGTTCGTATTTTCGTGGGTGCTCTCTTGTTGCGGTCCTCTCTCGCTGTTTGCGTCGAGCACTTCAGCATTGCTTGCTCTCTGCGGCATGCATTACTTATTCATTACGCAACCGATTACATTTTGCTTATGCACCCGATGCTGAAAATCCCCTCTTCATTTCAACTCATTCGGGCACAGATTCGATGCAGACCGACCGTAACAAAAGGGTGCGCTGAATATTTAATAGACTTCTTTTCATCTTTCATGCTCGAAATCAAATCGATTCTTCTCTTCTCTAAATTCAATTCACTTCGTTCACTCCGAAAAATCATAGCTCGTCCTTCGAACGCAACCACGCCGAGTGGTAGACAGAGTGTTCGGTTCATGGCGAAAAGTGACAAATGCTAAAGAATGAAATTTCAAACATAGAAAAAAAAATCGGAAAGAAAAACATTTTTGTGGGTGCTTGAAAGTATCGTTTCATCGTTTTATGTATGTCTCACCGATACGTTTCCAAAGGGCAACAACAACAAAAACAGCAATAGCAACAGCACACAGAATGAGAGAGAGAGAGAGAGAGAGAAAAAAAACTCGACTGGGATTTAAAACGTGGGTAAAATGCATTTTGTGTTTTTGCTTGAGTTGTTTAGAGGGTGCCGTTCCCATTATTATGTGCTCAGTGGCGTGATAGACATTTGATTGAATTTGATTCGAACCAGAGAAAGCGTATACACGGGATACTATTAATTTGTTGAATACGGCAAATGTTTAAGTGGGTAAATGCTGAATCGGTTACTTTTGTGCGGCAGACTTTATTGCATTTCAATTTGTGTCATATCAAATTTCAGCATTACTAGGCGATTTCTTTTTGCGCTCATTTTATTACTATCATCTGTTTTCCATTAGCCAAACACAAGAGAGTCAAATCTTTTTGATCTAAATTACATTGTGCCTTTGATGTGCATTTTTGTCAATAGAAGAAGAAAAAAAATGAGATTTTGGCATAGCAAAACACAATCGTATGGTCTCTGGTGAAAATATTGAGAAATTCATTGAAATTTTGCATGATTTTTTAATTGAAAACCACATGCTGAGTCATTGAGAGGTTCGCAACCTGTAAGAGGAAGCCCTCAAATTCAATGCCAGAAAAAATGTAGTCATATGCGTTGCAACGACTTGTTCGTCTGTCCGTGCATTATCTATTCCCAAATAGAAATCCGCACCACATTGAAACATAATGAGAAGGATGAAAAGATGATTCTACATTTGTATTGTTTGAATGGCTGCTGATTGTTCGGTGGTTGGCGATATTATGAAAATTTCCAGCTGTTAAGATTGGCTCGAGGGAGCAAATTAAGTCATCTGTTAGTCAGATAATAGTGGCAAAATATATCTAAATATTCGAATTTTTGGTTTTCTATTCACAGGTTTGGTTCAAAAACCGTCGGGCGAAAGTGCGTCAACAGCAAACACACCAGCAATCATCGAATGCGAACAACTCAAAAACATCAAGTCGATCAACGTGCTCATCGTCATCATTGTCATCGTCACGCGGTACCGGCTCAAGCAGCGGCAACGCAATTACCAATAACAATAGTAAATCGAACAGTATGACGACTGGAGCCTCGTCAAAAAATACGACCGCATCATCGGCATTGAAACAAGCTCAAGGATCGAATAACACGTCATCGAATAATAATCAATTGTCGCATCAAAACAGTAATACAAACAATAATAGCACCGCATCAAATGCAAACAACGGTCTTGCATCGATCGGTCACAATTCGTCACCAATTCTACCGATGACACCGACCTCATCGGTCAGTCCGCCGGTCAATGTGATCTGTAAAAAAGAACTGAACTATGGCATCCATAATGGTGTGCCCGGATTGAGCGATGTCATGAAATCCACCGTGATACAAGATTCGATCAAAGAAGAAATGGCCGGCATGATTGCATCCAATCCGCTTGCATACACAAACATAAATGCGCGCTTGGGCCATGGCGGCAACAGCACACCACTAGGTTCAAATTCATCAATCATCACAACACCATCGCCACCAATGACACCATCACAGAATGCCCTTTCCTATGTGCCGAACCACGAATCATATTTCTGGCATTCGCAATACAACCAGTATCCAAACAGCTACAATACACCAGCTTCATACTACTCACAAGTGGATTATCAAGGCCAATCAAACTACAGCATGGGCCATTCCGGTTATTCAACGTCAAACATGGGCTTGACCGCCAGCAACACATTCAACGGTTCGATGACATCACAGCCATTCGCATCGAACGGTCTCGATTATATGTCGCCAGCTCCCGAAAAGTACGGCATCAACATGGTATAAAATCGATTCGATTCATATTTAGAACAAGGGATTTAATTCATATTTATAAAGAACCGTTAAATAGCTTTTGTTCAAATTCGAGCTAATCACAACCCAATCCAATTGCAATCGAAATATGATTTTTGCAACCCCAAAAAAAAATGTTAGCGATTTTTTTTTCTCTATAGAATTGCGATTCATATTTGAACAAAATCTAAATCAATTTTCGAACAAATATGGCAAAAACTATAACTGGCGTCAAAATTGTAAACATATTTGTGGAATGGAAATGACAATACTCAAAATGAAGTAGAAAAACAAAAACATTGTTCGAATTGGCGAATTCAAAATTTCACCGAAAAAAAAAAAACAAACAAAACAATTCATAAATTGTGTTTTCGTTGAATGTAATTATTATCTTAAATGTGCTTGATTATTAATTGATTTTATCCATTCATGAAAAATTTTCATCGTGATTTGACAAAGTTTGTTTCTTTACAAAAAAAAAAAGAAAATAAATAATTTTTAATGGATTGTGCAACGCCGAAAATTGAGAAATATCTTTTCGTAGAATTTTTGACTTATGTTCATTCGTGAACATCAACAGCATTTCATGTCATGCAACAGAACGCGAGGTAGAGAGAGAGAGAGAAAGTGAATGAGTTTGACGGCGAATTGCCACGAGCGATTCACAACATGCGATATCAAATTTTGACTAAAAGATAAAACAAACAAAACACTTGTAAATATTTTAAACAAGAAAACATACTCAACCAATTAAATACGTAATTTTCAAGCTAATTTGTAAGTCAATTGAAATTATCTTCCTTTCCTTTTTTGCGACGTGTAAGTGCAAAACAAATCAATTCAGACAGACGAGAGTGTAGGTGTAGGATAATTGAATGTTTTGACGGCCGATTAATTTGCAATCACATTCATGCGCACGGCGTGTACAAAGATCGATGAGATGCATACGGATACGTTTATGATTAATTTACAACCAAAATTTATCGATTTCAAAATGCATTTTAAACGAAACAATGAAAAAAAAAATATTCAAAATATTAGAATGGACACGAACAGCATTGAATTAGGGATATGGACGAATGACGAATGGTAGAGGCAGTTCAAGTGGACGACATTGCGCATGAATGAGAGGCAATGAGTTTGAGAAATGGAGAAAAGAGTAATTTATTAGGAACATTAAACTTTTTGGTTCTATGTGTCAGTGTGCGTGTATGTATGAACATGAAGTAAGAAAATGCCCGCAACAACAAAACAGAAAAAAAAAACAAACAAAAAAAATATCACACGTAGTAGACGAGCGGGTAATTTGCACTTCATTGTCGACTGTATCGCTTTGTAGAGCAACGTGCAAAGCGAAAATCCGCAATGGGATGATGATCCATTTAAATTTATTAGTGCAAAACATGCGATTAATTTGTTGATTTTCATTTCATTCACCTCGGTCCCAAAAGCTAAAAAAAACCACCACCACCACCATCAACAACAACAACAGCAAACATTGAAGCTAAAGCAAAAAAATACTCGACAAAAATTAAAATTAAAACAAAAAAAACATAAATGTAAAAACAAGAATGCAATGCAAACAACTGCAAAGAAGAAGGCAAAAAAAGCACGAATGAATGCATCACATGCATTATTCATGCCTAATAAATGAAGTACAACGATTCTCAAATTAAATTTTAAAAAAAAGAAACACAAAAAATACCACCTAACTAAGCACTCCGAATAGCAACACACGAATACTCTAATTCAAATAACAATTACATTCCAAACAACCATAACAATAATAATAACAACAACAAGAAGAAGAACAACAACACAAACGACGATAGCAAAATCAACGTAATAATCAACAATCCATGGTAATGTTAGGTTCAATATTAAAGTAAAAAAAAAGAACAAGTAAAAATAAGCAAAGCAAATTACTTTTAATGATATTATAAATATATATTTAACATGTCAAATGAAAATATATTCTATAGAGCTAGATATGTGTAAAATTGAAACGGAAAACAATCTCTCTTACAAACAAATGACAACAACAAAACAATTCACATAATATCAAAATTTCATATCATAATAATTGATTATTTGATCCCACTTTGGATAGTAATATTATGCAAGCACCCAAGACAGTGATGGCGACAAAAACAAAATCAAGTGAAATTCAAACCAGATCCAATTAAAAGAAAATTTGTAACTCATCATTCTACTGATTTTACTAACAAACTTCATTCAACAACAACATTTTCGTTGGCAAACAGCAATGATTGCCCACTTTTTAAACAAAATAGCAACCGTTTCTTTTCGTGTCTTGACCATAAATAATAATGTTAACTGTCCAATTGTAATATAAATAGCAGTAACTTGATTATATTATATATATATATATATTATTTGCAAATGAATTAAGTATATTATTGTGGAACTTTACAAAACTCAATAAAAAAAAATTTCGATAAAAAATTATGCGATCGCTTTTTTAGTTGTTGTCACACATTGACTCTTACAGGATCCACACAGTTTTTTTTCTAGCATTTTAAGAATTTTCAGATTTCTGAACAGCGGAATGAAACTTTTTGCTTGGAATTATGGTAATATTCATTTTATGACTACGATTTTTTTTTATTTACTTTAGTATTGATGGTAAATTTTGTGATGAATTTATCTATCTATCTATATTAAATGGATTGTTGTCTCTTGGTGTGTCTGAGTGTCGTGAATGTTTGGCCACTTTTCTGATTCATGACTTCGTTTTATGAGTGCCTTTGAATTTCTCGCAGCCGCGAAAAGGTTATTAAAAAATGAGTTGGTTTTGATTTTTGTAAATCATTTTTAGAAGTTTTGGAAAAAAATTATTCTCATGTTTTTTGTTACCATGGTTGGTGACACTAGCAGATGATCAATAATTATAGATTTTGTTCATATTCTCTGGACACTTCTATGCGTTTTATAGGGAATTTTCAAAATATAAGACGGACGCACAATTCACATGACAATGATCAACAGCGTATAGCACTGAACACTTTTTGTTGAAAAATGGCGAAATTTGCCGTAGAGAGCGCGCTTTCTTATGGACATTCCAATGGGGAACTGTTGGCGCCCTCTTGACGGTTTTTTTTTTGATAACTAGTAGTGTTAGACGCTGTTGACAATGATGTACAAAATTATTGGCAATAAAGCAAAATAAAAAATTTCAGCTTTTCAACGCCAAAAAAATGAGAAATCTATTTCAGATATGGAAAGACTTCCGTTTGATCGATTTGATGAAAATACAGACAGACACACATTTCAAATTTTCAATTTCAAGAGAATCGCAATGCGACCTACCCATCGAAGCTGAGTGAATCGAGACGGGGGTCTCGTGAGTAGGTCTTCGTCTCTTTATTCACATTTTCTACTCTCATCTAGAATCTAGATCTAGAATGGAAGAATACTGTCGAAATTATCGAAGTGGCGTTGGTGGCGAGTGCTTACATTATAATTGAACAAACAAAAAATGGTTTAAATCCTGCTGAAGGGTGCCATAAATAAAATAATCGTTCAAACTTGTTGAAATGTTCAATCGAATCGTCAACAAATACCTCCACGCCAAAGAGCTTAAATTGTTGCCTATCCATTTGATTCAAATTCGGATGGCAGAAGAAATAGGCGAAGAATGGAAATAATTCTTTTCCCAAGAAAAAAAAAACTCACACGAAACATTTTACGCAATAGAAAAACAGAAGCAAGCTGTCAGTGCACATAAATGGGAAAATTTCGACGAAGGAACACTTTGATGAGAATGTATTTGTTTGTGTGGCAAACAATGCAAAGCTGTAGGTAGCAACAAATAAAAATAAAGTCCGAAGCAATTGTTGAGACATAAAAATTGAATTTTCGTACGTTCAAAAGACTTTATTGATTCCGATTTAATTTCGGTACAATGGCAATTGTTTGTAAACACTATTTCTTTAACTTTTCTCTGAGGCTGCGCACACAAACTATTTCGGTTGGTTTTCTCTTTCAACTGTTCGATGGCATATTCTCGTTCTTTTTCTGTATGTGCGCTCACAAAAAAGGTAAATCAAGAACAAAGCACTGTGTGGGAAGAACAAATTCAGTGTGTCAAAACAGAATCTGCATCAACAATAAACTTCTGGCAACAGCAAAAAAAAAAACATAGTAAAAATAAATTGCATCCACCGTTCTCAAAAAGAAGAACCAGCTTCTTTTGATCGTAAATGTCTAGCTACTGTTCTGCTACACTACCTGTAAAAATGCAACGCCAATTAAAACCATTTTTCTCGGATGTTTGCACTTTTTATTACGTTCTTTTTTATTTTCTGTAATAAAAAAAAAATAATATTGTGGCTTAGCATATGCATTTTAATGGATGAATTGTAGTTGCCGAACAGAAACGGGTGACGGCATAAAAAAATGATGGAAAATTATATGGTACATTAAATTCAATTGTACTTAGTCAACAGACACACATTTGGGGGCAAATAGACCGATGAAATATAAATTCGATTCGATTCCATTGATTGGAACAGCTCGGTTTGGAACGGTTGCAAGTGCCTCAAATGAAACATTTATTAGCTTTGCGAATCTATTATTAGACGGTAAGTAAACAAGCCAGAGATTATAATCGCCAAATTACTTGGATCGGACAATGTGATGCAAGCACTTTTCTCGCATATGGAATGTTACAGAGACTAAAATGACATCCCGAATATTGCTCTGCTACAGAAAATAATTTTTGTTGCAAAAAAACTTGTCTAAAATCACGATCAATGTTCAAAATGATTGTATAAATCCCGAAAATGTAGTTAAAACGTTCCCGCAAAACTGCTAAGACAACGAAGCGTTTTGCCATCCGTCAAAAACTCATGTCAGTTAGTCTCTGTTGTGGTGTTCATCGAAGCATTTTGAAATTCCAAACAAACGCAGCATGACATAAATGAGATTGGCATCCGCATCGCATCCGCTTATTAATATGGAGCGAATTCCTGTTCTGACAGTGTGTTCATGTGTGTCTGTGTGCGCTCGGCAAAGAGCAAACTCATTAAAATGAACGGCAGCGCGAGAGAGAAAAGAAAGCAAGAGAGAAGAGAATGATTGCTGAGCAGCACAACAGAGGCAATCTTTGGTTGTGGTTACAAATTGAAAGGGATTTATAATTTTATGTACGCAAGGCCCATTGTTTGATAAGATCCCAAGAGTAATCTGTTTGCGTCATTTGGGCTTGATGCATGGAAATTCGATACTGACTCACTAATAGCAACCTAATTATTTTTTTTTTCCACTTGCCCAAAAACGGAGGAGGGATGAATTGTGAATTGATTTAAATTCCAAAAACCGAACAAAGAGAGCCAATTGCCTCGTTTTTTCCTGTTTCATTCTCGGTAGGCGAATAGTGATGGCCAAAGCAATGCTGTACAATGACCGAAATCGTAGTTTCAGCGGTTGGTCTATCATGGCATTGGGTTGGCAGAGTGTGCAATCGAAATTGTATGGTTTATTGAAATCGAAGCGTGATTT